CTGAGCAGATTTGCAAGGCAGCTACGTGGTGAACCTTGACTTTTGTGTATCACTACAGACTGGACCTTTTTATCAGCAAACGTTCAGGCCTTCGGCAGCAAGGGTACTGCAAGCTGTTTTACCTCCCTAGTTGGTTGAGTCTTGTTTATCTTCTCGGGTGCTGACCTGAAAGAAGTTAATGGAAAATCCAAGTTAGACTTACTGGTAACTTCCTTTTCAAGACAGCATTAGCCCGCCCTTTATGCTGTGATTTAATGTTTTGTGCATGTATGTTCCGGCCTGGGCCAGGAACAACTGACGAGGTGTGGGGAGAAGCCACCTTTTTAAGATTAGAAGGAAGAGGTGTACCTATTGCCTAGTGGGAGGAGCCACAATCTTTCAGGTGTTGTCTTGAAAGACTCCTGGAAAACAAGTTACCAGTAAGTCTAACTTCTTCTCCAGATTCTTGATTGTATGTCAGTGCTGTTCAAAGCTATTTTGAATAGCACTGCCTTCCTTAAAGCCAAACTTAACTGTATCAGCACCATAAACCAAAAATGATATATAAATCATTTTTTAATATTGATATATTTTATATAGTCTCCAAGCTTTATTTTGTTGAGAAATGGCTTTGAATTCCTCCCCTAGCATTTCTAGCTGCAGACCTCTTCACAAAGGGCAGATTATTCCTGTAGCACTTATTTCCCTTACCTCAGCTGAGAGCCCCGTCTCCCGTCTCCCTCTTCCTGATAAAAAGAAACAAAAATGCCTATCAAGACTCATGGGTATGACGTTTTTGCCTATGCCAGAACCTTGGAAGCAACTGAAGAAATGTTAACTTTTTTTAACGTGTAACTATAATATACATGCCCATCTACTGTACTATGATTAGTAGCCTAAGGATTAAAAAAGGTTCATGTTGATAAGAGTACAGTTTTGCTTTAACCACTAGCCTACAAGGTACTTATACCCCCTTCCTGCCCAGGCCAATTTCCAGCTTTTAGCGCTCACATTTTGAATGAAAATTGCGCGATCATACAACATTGTACCCATATGAAATTTTTATCATTTTTTTGTGACAGAGCTTTCTTTTGGTGGTATTTTAATCACCTCTGGGTTTTTTATTTTTTCTTAAACAAACCAAAAACCCCTGAAAATTTTGACTGATGTGCGCTAATGAGGCTGCACTGATGGGCACTGATAGGTTGCACTGATGGGCACTGATAGGTTGCACTGATGGGCACTGATAGGTGGCACTGATAGGTGGCACTGATAGGTGGCACTGATGGGCACTGATGAGGAGGCACTGGTAGGTGGCACTGATGGGCATTGACAGGCATCACTGACGGGCACTGATATATGGTACTGATTGGCATTGATAGGTGGCACTGACTGGCTCTGATGGGTGACACTGAAAGGCAGCTCAGATGGGCACTGATATGTGGCATTAATGTGCACTGGTAGGCACTGATATGTGGCACTGATGGGCACTGACAAACGGCACTGACAGATGGCACTGCTGGGCTACACTGATCGTCAGGGCACACTGATCATCAGTGCCCTGATGATCAGTGTACATGTCCCCTCTGCGGAAAGCCAATTACCGGCTCTCCTCTCCTGTCAGCGTGACAGCTCGAGAGGAGAGAAATGCCGATAACCAGCATTTTCCTGTTTACATGTGATCAGCTGTGATTGGACACAGCTGATCACATGACCGAGCCGACATCTTCGGCTGTTTCCATGATTGGTGATCCGCTGTGTCTGAGGGATGGGCAGTGAGAATGGGAGGACGTCATATGAACGAGAGAACCACCTTGCGCCCGTCATATTACTATATGGCGGGCAGGAGGTGGTTAAAGAGAATTTGTATATGCTGGCTTGTATCCAGGTTGTCTTCAGCTTTTCCCCCCTCATGCTTTCTGGTTATAGGCCTTAGGAAAACCTAGGTCCATGGATTTGCAGCTGTGATGTAATACAGATGATGTTCATGTTCTCTTTTTGATCAGAATGCTATCAGGACATCTGTATAAAAAAATTTTTTATGTTTCCACAGGTAAAAAAAAAAAATTGCATTTATTTATTTTATAAGGAGCCTGCAGAGCATTGCACCCATGATCATCAAATCCTGGTTGCATACTTGGGCTCCTACAGACTCTCAGGATAGTGGTCTGCCTGTACCTCGTATGGGCAGGGAGTTACTTGAGAGCAGGAAGATTGATGGACTAAGAGCAGTCACCAGCACCCTCACAGTTCTTTCAGAACTACAAGCTATCAACTGTAATGACTGACATTACTTGTAGGCATTAATTCATAGGAAACTGAATGATGCAGTCGTGTGGGCGGAGTCCCTCATGGACTTTTTATATTCAAAATGTGACAGCAGGTGCGGGGAGAAGATCCCCCACCAGCTGTCATGGGGGGAGAGGCTGAAGATACTGGAACATGTATTTAACCAGTTCAGCTCTTTGAACGTACATAGTACAACCAAAGAGTGAACCTTTTAATTACAAGCTGATGGCTACAGTTGTGTTTTTTTTTTTTTTTTTTTTTTTTCAGCCGGCTTAACCACTTGCCGACCGCAGATAGCCAGATGATGGCTACACTGCGGCCGGCCAGTTCTGAGAGGGTGTCATATGACGTCCTTCCAGAACGGGCTCTCCTGCGCGCCCCCGACGATCTTCGTGAACCATCCACTACTCCATCCATCTGGACCATTCAGGGTTGGCACGGCACTCATCAGTGAACAGGACTGTTTGAAAATTAGTCTTCATGTATTTTTCTGCCCAATGCAGACGTTTCTGCTTGTGAGCATTGGTTAGTGGTGGCCAAATAGAAGGTTTATGCACAGTTGCAAGACTCTGGAGGACTCTACACCTTGATGTCCGTGGGACTCCAGAGGCAGCAGCAGCTTCAAATATCTGTTTGCTGCTATGTAATGGTATTTTAGTAGCTGCTCTCTTGATCTGATGCATGGATCTGGCAGAAATCTTCCTCAATGTGCCTTTATCTGCACAAACCCGTCTGTGCTCTGAATCAGCCACAAATCTCTTAATAGTGCGATGATCACGCTTAAGTTTTCGTGAAATATCTAATGTTTTCATACCTCGTCCAAGGCATTGAACTATTTCACTCTTTTCGGCAGCAGAGAGATCCTTTTTCTTCCCCATATTGCTTGAAAATGGTGCTCTGCTTAATAATGTGGAACACCGTCCTTTAGTAGTTTTTGCTTAAATTGGGCTCACCTGCCAATCTAATTATCACAGGTGTCCGAGATTGTTTTCAGTGATCAAAAGAGCCCTGACACACAATGCCATCCATGAGTTAAACTGAAAAACAAAATATTTAATCTTTGTGACACTTAAATAGAATTTGCATAATAATTTGGAACAGGGTGTAAGTGCCTGGTAGGCAAGTGGTTAAAGGTGAAAGTGATGCAGAAGCTTCATAGCTGCCGATCAATTTCAGAGTTGGCAGCATGGTGCCCTCCCTCCTCCTTTTGGTTCCCAGGATCTCCCCCTCTTAGCGAAGCCCAGGAACGCACCGCTGGCTAAGGGAGGGAGAGCGCTGTGGACCAAGGCAAATCCACGCCACGATCTCACATGCAAACACTGAAACCAGAAGTGATGTAACTCTGGTTTCAGATGCACCCTTTCCTGACCAGTACAGCCTAAAAAAATTGCTGTAACTCCCATTGCCCCCGCACAGACGCAAATACAAGCCCAGGATGTGCATGCGTATGTAAACTCTGATCAAACCACATGTGACCTATTGCTGCAAACGTCAGGGTGAGAACGATAATTCTAGCACAAGCAGCTCCTCATTAACTTTAAACTGATGAGCTTTTAAAGCGTTGCGTATGGGTTTTTTTTTCTTTTTGGCAATGTAGCAAGCGCACACGATTTTAAGAATGTTTGGTATCCATTTACTCAGTGCAACCTCCTCTTTTATATTGCAACCAAAATAGGATGTTCTATTGTGTTTTTTTGCATTAACCACTTGCCTACCAGGCACTCTTACCCCTTCCTGCCCAGGCCAATTTTCAGCTTTCAGTGCTGTTGCACTTTGACAATTGTGCGGTCATGCGACACTGTACCAGTGACATTTTAATAATTCTATTCACACAAATAGAGCTTGCTTTTGGGGATTTTTTTTTTTCCCCCTATTATAAAATTTTTCAAACGGGTAATTTTTCTCCTTCACTGATTTGCGTTGATGAGGCAGCACTGGTGGGCATTGATGAGGAGGCTCTGGTGATGGGCACTGATAATCAGGGCACTGACAATCCGTGCAGATCTGCTCTGTGACATTTGCTGGTTATCGGCAGTACTTTCCTCATGCTGTGACAGTGTGACAGGAAAGTGCTGCTGATAATCGGCAAATGTATTTACTTTGTGATCAGCTGTGTCATTTATACAGCTGATCACATGGTAATAGGCCACTGTGATTGGCCTGTTACCTAGTCATGTGATCAGCTGTGTCCGTAGGACACAGGACTACAGGGCCTCCTGCCTTCAGAAAATTAATAATGTTCTGGTGGTGTAAGTAATTAATTAGTTTAGAGTCTTGCATATAGAAGCAACTAATGTTATCCTAGGTGTCCATGTGCCGCTCATCAGTGCAGCCTCATCAATGCACTTCAGTGAAGAAGAGCAATTACCTGTTTTGCAAAATTTTATAATCAAAAGTAAAAAATAAATATTTTTTTTTTTCCCCCAAATTATCGGTCTTTTTTCGTTTTAGCAAAAAATGAAGCACCCAGTGGTGATTAAATACCACCAAGAGCTCGATTTGTGTAAAAAAAAAAAAAAATTGATAATGTCGTATAGGTACAGTGTTGCATTTGTTGTCATTCAAAATGCGACCGTACTGAAAGCTGAAAATTGGCCTGGGCAGTAGGGGGTAAAAGTGCCCGGTAGGCAAGTGGTTAAACATAGTTTTAAAATTTTTTCTATAACTAGTTTTATGCTGACTGTACTGTCATGCATACAATTTAAGCTGTTTTCTTTTGTCCCTCTCTGTAGGAATACACTTGCCCCAGGTGTGAATCAGGGTTCATTGAAGAGCTTCCTGAAGTAAGGTAAATAAGAAAACATTAGCCTAGTTTAAATACTGAAAGTTAAAGAAAACCTGTCTGATAAAATATACAGGCTGTCATTACCTGATTGTAATGTGAATCCTTCAATACTGCAATTCAGGAGTCAGAACTTTTTTTTTTTTTTTTTACATCCAACTGAGTGCTTTATTGACCAAACTTATGATACATATTTACTAAAAGCAACATGGTATAACATGAGCCACAATCGGCAGGAAAAAGGAAACAAATAGAGCAAGAAACAAAAATTGTACATCCATATAATACAGCGCTGACATGAGCAATGACTAGACCAGGTTGAGGTAATTCGCTTAAACAGAATAGAAATACCAATACAACAAATCTTTGCAATATCAGACCCCAGAAGGGAGGAAGGGATGGGAGGGAGAAGGTGGGGGGGGAGAGAACAGGAGTCCGAACTTGCTGAATGCTTGTTCTGAGTCCGTGCCTAAGTATGTATTGAAACCGGCAGCGTTCATTTTTAGAATGTCCTTTAAAGTTAACCAGTCTTGAGAAAAATGTGAGTTGCCATTAAAGGTAATTCATCTACAATCTGTGGTATGTCTCAGTATTCCTACTTACAGGAGCTGCAGATTTTTTAAACTGTGACAGCAGACGCATGGGGAAGATTTCCAGCCAGCTTGCACAGCGGGACTCGGAAGGGTGGGGGGGGGCAGTTGTTGCAGTTACAAGTTACACCGTGAATATGGGTGGAACATGTAACCTGTTAGAAAAGGTGAACTTTATGCTTTTAATAGTGCAATTTTCTCTAATGCTCCAAACCTTACAAATGATAATAGGAGTTGGGCTGGTGAGCTACAGGGACAAATTGACCTATCCTATGTTTTAAAAAAAAAAAAAAAAAAATGTACAGTTTAAATTTAAACTGCACCTGTTTTGAGACAAAAATGTGGACTGCCAAGCCAATTAACAAAGGGATTCTGATTTGGTCAGGGGCATCCCTGAGAATCACTCTGCTCTGTCCTGGAAACCCTGCAGAAAGAAGGGGGAGAAGAGTGCTACGACAGTTATGCTGGCTGCGTGGGCACTGACAGCTTATCCATGGAGGGAAGTACAGTGGGAGTGGGTTGTAGGGTGATAACCTTTTTAATTTTTTCCAGTAAAAGTGAGCTTGCACGTTAAGTCACTTCTCTATCCCCTACTGCTCACTGGATAATGGAATGCCGTAATCGCTTCCAGGGTGTAGGTGGGTGACCAGGAAAGTTGTGAAATAAAACCAGTAAGTGGTTGTGTAACCTTTTTAGACTGCTCAATTTGGTTGAAGTGCAAAAATGACAAAACTGTCTGAACAGAAAAAGAGAAAAATCCTTAACCAATGTGTGTGTATATATTTTAACTGTGTGTTTAGCTTTTTGACTGAGGTTGCACTGTAAGTAGTGTGGTATTCTAAGACAGAAGCACATTTGCAGACAGGTTTGTGTGTGTTTTTTGTTTGTGGATATGGCAAAATGGTAAATCTGACTTTTACAGGAACACAGAAAATATTAGCAACACGTCAGGGGCAGATCAAAACAGACATCCCTTTGAGGTAAATATGCAGTGGTCAATTGTCCTTTTTTTTTTTTTTTTTTTGTTTTTTTTTTTTTTTTTGGTTTTCCTTCTTCTACTAATGCACTTTCTATCTAAAGAGCCTAGAGTCCACCCAGTTCACATTACCTCCTGGTTATGGCCAAGTTACTTTTGGGATATTCAATGAGGGCCTAGAGTTCCCCATCTTTGGCGCAAGTGGAGCAAGTGAAGAGAGCCGTGAAGGGGAAAACAGAAGAGAACAACAGTCACGGCAAAGATACAGCGCAAGACAACCACGTGCTAGACTGAGTACAAGGCGCTCGGCGGGAAGGCATGAGGGTGTGCCCACCTTAGAAGGGTGAGAAGGAGCAGTTAGGTATGGGTATGGGATAGTAGCATTTGGCCTAGATCTTCTTCCTTTTTTTTTTTTTTTTTTTCCTCTAAGACATGGTTTGTTTTTGGTGGCATTATGTCTGCATATGTCTAAGTTTTCTTAGATTTTCTAGACTTGGTGTGACTCCTGAAAACTCTTGTTATCGCATCTATAGCAGGAACCTGTACATAGAGAATGTTGTAATCTTTGTCACCGCTCTCTAGAAATCCCTAGATAGCAGTGGTGAAAACGTTGTATAAAAATCTACTTTACCTTCAAAAGTTTGTGTTTAGTCTGCCAGGATACAGTGATATCACCTATCCTTTCCCAAATGGCTGAAACATTTTTTTTATTCTATGAGCTGACAGCCAACAGAAACAAATAATTACAGGCAATGGGCAAAGATGGAATGAAGACAGTACAAGTGAAAGGAGGTACATTTTTTTTATTTTTACAGCTGCTATCTAGGAATTGCCAGGGACTTTTGATATGAGAGGAAGAAATAAAGACTCTTACAGCAACCTTTGCGCACAGGACTTGGTTAGCTAGTATATGAACAGGAACAAACCAAATTGTGTTGAAAAAATACATAGTCGGCCTATATTAACATATTATTTATTTATTTTTTTTTTTGGGAATGCCAGTTGCCTTTTTAGCCTCCAGTACTTCACTTGATTAATGCATGTTTTAAGTCAGAGAAGTCAGTGGAAAATGAGAACTCTGGATCAGGTCGGTTAATTAAGGTTTGACGGAGAGTTTAGCAATGACCGTTTACATTTTTCTTCCATTCTCTGAGGGACTCCTTGTTTTTATGGATCATAAGCAACCAAGGATTAGGCTCCTAGAAGCTGTTAATAGCATTGTTTTTGTTTTCTGCTCCTAGAATCTAAATATCCTGTTGCAGACTCCTTTAGGCTATTAGGGTGTTTTGAGCTTCAGCTTCTAGGAGCAGAAAAAAAGTTTGATTTTGTAGGTTTTTTCGATCGTTTTTCCAGCAGAAAAAAAAAGCTAAACGCTACCAACAGGTTTTTTTTTTTTTTTTGGCTTTCTTTTTTTACATGTACAGTAAAGATGCTCCTAAACAAAAGTTATTACCAGCGGTTTTAATCCAGCAGTTTTTTCCAGCTTTTTTTTTTAAGCTAAAGAAAAAAAAAAAAAAAACCACGCTAGTGTGCATGGAGCTAAATACTACGGCAGCAATGGACTTTGTAGTCATGTAAAAACCTGAAGACCCACCCCCTAGAGACTATAACTGCTCACGTCTGCTCAGTTACACTTGGTGTTTTTCTGCACTAGACAAAATGTTGGTCTCTGTAAGGGCGCACAAAAACTATTTTCTATGTGCCCTTTTAAACTGAACAAAAACTTTCTGGTTCAATGTTTTTTATTAAAGAGATTCTTCAGAAAACAGAGTGACAGATATAGTGGATATAAAAAGTCTACACACCCCTGTTTAATTTTTACATCACAGAAACCTGACATTTTAGACAAAGATAAAAAATTTCAGAACTTTTTCCATCTTTTAACCACTTGCTTACTGGGCACTTATACCCCCTTCCTGCCCAGGCCAATTTTCAGCTTTCAGCGCTGTCACACTTTGAATGACAATTGTGCAGTCATGCAACACTGTACCCATAAGAAATTTTTATCTTTTTTTTTTTTTTTTTTCACACAAATAGAGCTTTATTTTGGTGGTATTTAATCGCCACTAGGTGTTTTTTTTTTTTTGCGCTATAAACAAAAAAAAAAGTGAAAAAAAAAAATTAAAAATTTTTTTTCTTTTGTTTCTATTATAACATTTTGCAAACGGGTAATTTTTCTTCTGTACTGCTGGGCACTGATCATCAGAGGTTAATGTAACCTATAAACTGTACAACTCAGTTGAACAACAAACTTTTTTTTTTTTTTTACTTCCCTCTACCTAAAAGATTTCAAACTAAAATATTATGGTTGCACAACCTTAAACTAATACTTTGTTGAAGCACCTTTTAATTTTATTCCAACACTCAGTCTTTTTGGGTATGAGTCGATCAGCATGGCACATCTTGACTTGGCAATATTTGCCCACTCTTCCCTGCAAAAACACTCCAGATCTGTCAGATTGTGAGGGCATCTCCTGTGCACAGCCCTCTTCAGATCACCCCACAGATTTTTTGATCTGATTCAGGTCTGGTCTCTGGCTGGGTCATTCCAAAAACTTTAATGTTCTTCTGGTGAAGCCATTCCTTTTGTTGATTTGGATGTGTTCTTTGGGTCAATGTTATGCTAAAAGATGACGTTCCTCTTCCTGTTCAGCTTTCTAGCAAAAGCCTGAAGGTTTTGTATTGACTGGTATTTGGAACTATTCATAATTCCCTCTACCTTGACTAAGGCTCCAGTTCCAGCTGAAGAAAAACAGCCCCAAAGTATGATGCCACCACCATGCTTCACTGTGGGTATGTTCTTTTAGTGATGTGCAGTGTTTTTGTGCCAAACATATCTTTTGGAATTATGGCCAAAAAGTTCAACCTTGGTTTCATCAGACCATAACACATTTTCCCACATGCTTTTGGGAGACTTCAGATGTGTTTTTGCAAATCTAGCCAGTCTTGGATGTTTTTCTTCGTAAGAAAAGGCTTCCATCTTGCCACTCTACCCCATAGCCCAGACATATGAAGAATACGGGAGATTATTGTCACATGTGTCACACAGCCAGTACTTGCCAGATATTCCTTTAGCTCCTTTTTAATGTTGCTGTAGGCCTCTTGGCAGCCTCCCAGACCAGTTTTCTTTTTGTCTTTTCATCAATTTTGGAAGGATGTCTAGTTCTTGGGAATGTCCCTGTTGCACCATATTTTTCTACACTTGAGGACCGTCTTCACTGTGTTCCATGGTATATCTAATGCCTTGGAAATTCATTTGTACCCTTCTGACTGACAACTTTTAACAGTGAGAACCCTCTGATGCTTTGGAAGACCATGGCTTTTGCTGTAGGATGCAACTAAGAAAATGGAAAGACTTACTAGAACAGCTGAACTTTATTTGGGGTTAATCAGAGGCGCTTTCAATGATGGCAGGTGTGTACTGACTCCTCTTTAACATGATTTTGGATGTGATTGCTTAATTTTTAACACCGCTACATCCCCAGTTAGAAGAGGGTGTGCTCACTTATGCAACCACATTATTTTACTTTTTATGATTTACTACCCCCCCCTAAAACATTTTAGCTTCTTTTTCAATTGAGTTGTACAGTTTATAGGTGGAAAAAGCTCTGAAATTATTTGGTGTTTTTTTTTTTTTTTTTTTTTTACATCACAGAAACCTGACATTTTAATAGGGGTGTGTAGACTTTTTATGTCCTCTGTACAAGAACAGCCATTCAATAGTGCAATCTCTGATGACTACAACATGACAAAATGGAATACTGTCTCCTCTACATAAAAATGATTAACAAATTGCTTATGTAGTAATTGTTCAAAATCAAGGTAGGCATACGCCAAGCCCAAGCTAAGATGCACATCAATATAGGCTCACAACCAGTTCTAAGGCGCAAGATGGCAACAAATGCACTGCAAACTATCACGGTCTATTCAAACACAGTGTGGCTCGGCCCCACCCCTGCTCTCTGCTCATAGATTTTGACCATTGACTCCTGCTGCTCTTGACCAAGCGCTGGATCAAGATTGGGCTTGGGTGAGTATTTAGGGGGCTGTGTGTTTTTTTTTTTTTTTTTTTATTTTTTTTTGGTTTAAACCTTAAAAGCGGAGTTCCACTCACCCTGTCAAAAAATTTAAGTCAGCAGCTACAAAAACTGTAGCTGCTGACTTTTAAAAAACAGCCACTTACCTGTCCCACGGTGTTTCCCCTGCAGCTCGTTTCACCAGCCGTCCTGTATTCCAGGAGGCCGGCATCTTCAGTGTGGGCACCCAGCTGTGACTGCTTGTGGCTTCACAGCCGGGTACCCACTGCACATGCGCGAGTAGTGCTGCACTTTGTGAATGGTCCTGTAGTCTTCTGGGACCTGTCACGTGTCCAAAAAGACTAAAGGGAGGGGAGGACTAGGCGATCGGACCGGAAGTGGGAGCGGGTACCTGTCAAATTTGGGTACCCGCTTCCCACCCCCCGAAAGTGCCAATCCTTAATGGGGGAGGGGGGAGCAGTCCTTAAAGCCGAACGTCCCTTTTTTGGGTGGCGCTCCACTTAAATGTTATTGTAAACCCTCACCTTTTTATAAAACATCCCATTCAGTTTAAATAGAATTATAATTGCACTGAACAGATGTCATCCCATCAAATTTTGTGTGATGTTTTTATGTAAAGTCCTTTGTGTTCAGATCCACAGAGTTATCTGTGCTCTAGTGCTGGTTGGTGGAGCAGTAGTGTCAGCTTTGTTGAAATTACTTTCTGGGAGATTGTCATTTCGCTATTTGCTGGAAGAAAGTCTTTAAAAATTGTAAGCGTATTCACCCCAGTTATGCAAAAAAGCATCAACTACATAGGTCAACACATTGCTATTCTAAAACAAAACAAACATTCCTGTTTTGGTCAGTTATTTCCTCCCTTCATTTTGGAGACATCCGTAGACAAAAAGGAGGTGTATATACACAGCTTTCTGCAACTTTTTTCCCTTCCATTAGCAACAGCCACTTGTTTGTGGCCTTTTCCTTTGGTTTTTCCTCGTTTCCAAGAGTGTTCATATCAATCTGCTACATAATCCAACCTCTTTGTCCATGGACTCCAGTGTTTAATCATGATGCGAATATTTGAGGACTTCAGATGGATCCTCAACATTGCGATGTCCTCTCTAGTTCCATCACATTACTTGAAGTTCTCAGTTGTTCCCTTTTTAGATTCTTTTCAAGCCAAGGCCTTCTTCCCCAGAAGTTGATGAAACCACAGAATCTAGTTCAGCAACTTCAATCCAAACATTGGTGTTTCATTCCACTCCAGCTTTTTACAAAGAACCTCCTCAAGGTGAACCCCTCCGCCCCCCTCCAGTTCTCTAGTTCAG